TCATGGCAGGGCGTGGAGAGTCACGGAGAGTCTGGGAGCCTGGAAGTTCACAGTCACTTGGCCTGAGTATGGGCACCCATGGGTGCTGAGATGACCTCACCAGGCCCCAGGGAACCATTCTGTAAAGTGGGAAGCCTGTGATCCAGCGCTCTGTAGGCTGAGGCAGGGGGATCGCAGCAAGTTCAAGGCCAGCCAGCCTGAAGTACATAGTAAGACCCTGCCTCAAAAGTTAAATAATTAAAGGATTAATGTGTTTTCAGGTCCCTGATCTCCAGGCAGCCAGGCCAGGAAGCAGAAGGAACCGAGCTCAGGGACTCTGGCAGGGGCACCCCACGCAGGGCAGGATGGGGCTGGGGCGCTGGGGTTAGGTCGGAACCCCGCTGCCCGGTGTTGTGCCCACTGCCGTGCACTACAGATTCCGTCCCTCGGACAGGGCTGTGTTGGGCACCAGTGCACTAGGTCCGCACAGCAGCCCCTCCCTGCTGGTCACTGCAGCTGTCCCTCCAATGCAGCCCGCCAGCCCTCTGGCCTGTGACGTCCGTTATTTTTATTATTTTTAGGGTGTTTTGAGACAAGCTCTCATTATGTAGCCCAGGCTGGCCTTGAACTTGTGATCCTCCTGCCTCAGCTCCTGGGTGCTGGGATTACAGGCGTGTGTGGCCACTCCCGGCCCAGGGTTCAGTGAACAGTTGATGGGGTGACAGGAAGTGGGAAGGGTGGTCCCAGAATCCAGACGGGCATGAGAGACAGTGCCACGGAAAACAGGGAGGAGCCAGGTGGGGACGTGGCCAGGTGGGACGGTCACCTGCCCGACACACCCTGCTAGTGCCAGGGAAGCTGGTGGGGTCTTGCTCTCCTCTTGGGGCTATAGGTTGCTTTATTTATTTACTTTTTGAAACAGGGTCTTGTTATGTAGCCCAGGCTGGCCTTGAACTCAGGGACCATCCTGCCTCAGCCTCCCGAGTGCTGGGGTTACAAGCATGTGTCACCGTGCCCGGCCTGGGTCCCTTTATTTCAAAAGCGCTCTAGACGTCTGGAAGCTCTAAGATTTACATGTAGATGCTGTTCCACCCTTCCGGCCTCTGTCCTCCCCTACCTCCCAGCCTTCAGCTCGGCCTTTCCTTCCCTTTCTGAGTGAGGCTTCCCCAGAAAAGAAGCCTTCCCATCCCAGGGCTCTGATGCTTCTCCGCCCTCCCGGGTGCAGGCTGCCCTTAAACCTGCCTCTCACGGGTGGGAAGTTCTTCCTCGGCTTTGCCCTGCGCGCCTCTCGCTGGGATGGCAGCCATCCGCTCTCTTCCCTCACCTTCTGGACTTAGCCACCAAAATGAGTATGGCTTCCTGCTGCCCTTCCTCCTCACCCCACCTCCCTGGGGCCCCGAGTTTCCGATCTGCCATCTGCCTTCTTCCTCACGGGCACCATGCCCGACATCTCTCAGAGCTGGGCTGCGGGGAGGCGGGCTGGGGCCCCACCTCAAGCACCTGGCCCCCTCCGGCCCCACCCGCAGTCCAGCCTGGCCCTGGCTCTCTCATCCTCTGCACTCCGTGCCTTTCTGCCCATCCCTCTGCGTCTCTGTCCCTGCCCTCTGCCCCCCAGGCCTCTCCCGGGCCTTCTGCCCACTCCCTCCCCATGCCAGGCGCCAAGGGCTGCGGTGGCCGGGCAACTGCCAGCCTCGGGTCCCCGGGCCAGCTGAGCGCTGTCCCTCAGGCTGCCCGGCCTCCACCAGCACCCCCAGCCCCGCTACAACTGCACAGCCAAGGGCCACGTGAGACTCAGTGGCCGGAGGAGTGGCCCGGGTTGGGCTGGGCACAGGCAGAGGTGGCCCCTGTGTGCTGGAGCCAGGGCACTGCCTCCTCCTGCCCACAGCCCGCCGGCCCCTCTGCAGGACTGAGCGCCACCATCAGGACACAGGGGTGCTCTGGGCCCTCGCAGCCCTGATGGCCGTGCCTCAGGGTCCCATCTGTGGAGCGGGGGTCTCACTGAGAGGACCCGGAGCATCGCCGCATCCCCGCTGCGGGCACTGTGAACCCACGCCCCTGGGCTGGGTGTGCATGGGCACCCAGGGTCCCTGACTCTGGGGTTGGGACCAGGTCCCCATCTGCTGCGAGGACTCAGCCAGCTGCTGGCATGTGGTGTGGATAGAGGTGGGACACATGGATGGGAGGCCACAGGACATCAGTCCATCCTGCTGCCCAGGGCAGGCTGAGCACCTGCTGTGTGCCAGGCATGGCCCTGGTCCTGGGCACAGCCCTGCCCTGGAGGCTTCCACTCAAGGATATGGGCACAAAAGGGCAGAAGGCAGGAAGTGATGAGAGAAAAATAAAGCAGAGAAGATTCTGGGGTAGGCAGGATTCCCTCTGATGTGGGGGTTCAGGATGTGTCACTGAGAGGGACTTCACAGCTAAGGCCTGACAGGAGGGAGCGTACCATGGGGATAGCTGGGGAGGGGCTGGGTGGCAGAGTAAAGAGCAAGTGCAAAGGCCCTGGGGCCATGTGCACAGCCCTTCCTGGAAAGAACTAAGGGAGGATGGGCAGGGCAGGAAGCAGGAGATGGGGTCTGAGAAGCGGAGTGCTGGGAGTCTTTACTCCGCTGAATAAGCCAGGGTCTTGGGGCTGCTGCTGAGCAGAGGGACAGGATTGCACTGGCTGCCTGTGGGGGACAGAAAGGGAGGGGCAGAGGTTGGAGTGGGGAGACCACTGAGGAGGGGACTTGGTGACTCGTTTGTTTAGGCTGGGGAGCAGGGCCGGGCCAGGGCTGGGCTGGGAACTTAGAGCCCTCGGTTGAGCATTCAGAGTTCCCAACCCTCCAGCGGCCCCTCCAGGTGAGACTTTTATCACCCGCCTCTCCGTGCAGGAGAGTGGAGATCAGAGAGGCCAGCCTTGCTCACGGACCACGGCAAATGAGCACTAGATTCAAGATTCAACTCAGGCCCAGGCATGGAGCGGCGCGCTGTGCTGGCGCCCACTGCTTTCCGAGGCCCAGGGGTGTGCTGGCCTGTAGGTGGCGCTCATGAGCACCTGCACCAAGGCTTGGCACAGAGCGGTAGTGGGGACTTGGTGAGCACTTCCTGGATGGAGTGAGGGATGGAGGGATGGAGGGAGGGACGGAGGGACGGACAGATGGGGGGATGGAGTGAGGGATGGATGGAGGGACGGATGGACGGATGGAGGGATGGAGGGAGGGACGGATGGACGGACGGAGGGATGGAGGGATGGAGGGAGGGATGGGTGGCAGATAAATCAAATCAACGATGGTGGCTGCCCTGCCCATCTCACGCAGAGAGGAGTATCAGGAGGCAGGTGTCAGGCTGTGGCTGAGGTCGGGAGAGGGAGCATCTGGAGTGGGCTTCCGCGTGGCCTGCGCAGGCTGAGCCCAGCTGTGAGGGTGACACGGTCCAGGTCTGCTGGTTTCCCGGGGTGGGGTGGAGTCTGTGCTGCACCGCAGTAGGGGTCTGGGGGTTCCTGAGGCCCCAGGCACCTGCGGAGGAGAGCGGAGAGGTGCAGGGACGGTGGCCTAGCAGGGCTGCTTCTGGCCAGCGGCAGGGGGTCAGCGCA